TCTGAAGACAACCGCAACAAAACTGAAAGGCCAATCAGCAGCCGGCTGCCAAACAGTCACTGGTCATTTTATGTCCCTTTTGTTAACCCTGATAAACCTTGATGAACCTATTTTTATGTTCTGTATTATCTTATAATGTATATTATGTATTTGAAATAACCGCGGACGCGGCGTGTTTTGAAACCCTAAAGGCAGATTTAACTCGCGCCAGCAAAGAAACCACACGCCAACTCGAAATGAGTGACTTCCGTCCAAAAGTATCCATTGGGATTTTTTTTTTTTTTATATATGTTTTCCCCTCTGACACCACGGCTGACCCCTGTAAATATGACACCCAGTCTTACATGGCCATCGGTACTTCCGTCGCCTTTTTGAACCCGGCGCGTTTTTTTTTTTGCCGACGCTTGTTTTTCTTGCCCATTCGATACTCAAAGGTGACATGAAGGTACTTGATACCTCTATGGATTTTTATCATTAATATATTTGTATTATTATAGGGTAATTATTTTGGAACTAACATTAAATTCATATTGTATTTTATTCTATAGAATAAAAAACTACATTTCAACTTATTCTAACGATTGAATTACAGACCTGAGTTCGAACCCTGATGAGCCGAGACGAGTGCAGTCACATAATGCAATGAGATAATGCACAACTCAGGGCCTACTCACTGTAGAGTTTGTTTTTGGCAAAATAACAAAATTTGTTGTAGTTTTGCAGTCACACTTTGCCCGCCGGGCCCCCCATCAAATTCGCAATTGGTGGGCCAAATGTCAGCGGCGTGCAGGGCCGCGGGGCTGAGCAATTTGCCGTCACCTCCAGAGGTGTCGGTATTTTTTCCTTTATTTGAATCCATGTGCTCACAGAAGAGAACTCCAAATGTCAGCGGGGTGCAGGCCCTCGACTACTTTTGCTGTGTGACATTACAAGTGGGCAATTTTGCAAATGGCAGGGAGTCGGTCCCTTGTCTTGTCCAATTTGCTACCCCTGTGGGCCTGTGTGACTGTGCAAACGCAGCAAAATTGCGAACAGGGAGTAGCAAACGCAGCAAATTTTGTTGTTTTGCTACCCCTGTGTGTGAGTATCTGCAGAAACCCACGTCGGGAACAAGTGGCTCAGAACCCAATATATGGATATACCCTGTTTTGTCAAGCTCTACATAACAATCAAGAGTGCCTGCGAAAGGATGGTAGTTAGTATCGTGTTTCAGAACCTTCAAGATTCCAGGTCATATAGCAGCAAGAGACAGAAGATGGCCGTAATTTCTGCTCTTTCACACAGAGCACATGAGATTGGCACATTGCTGGAAGGGGGAGAGGTCCCCTTCTGTTTGCCTTGAAAATGGAGCTGCGCCGATGGGGTCTCCCCGACCTCTTCTTCGACAAGGCCCTTCGGAATTTTAATATTAAACCACCAGTACTTCCTAAAGTCGTGCCCGTTAACGCACCACAATATTAGGAAATGTACAGGCCACTACAGGAGCGCCCCGTGCTCTCTTTTTCCTCTCCTTTTGTTGTTTAAAGAGAAAACTAGGGCGCAGTCATGGTTTCCAGTTTTAAATGCTCCAAAGGGAGGAAAATCGTGAATGTATACAACCCAGCTTTAGGGTTGGGTGGGGATGTGCATTGTGCTGTATTAGAGGGATGCCTGAACTGCATTTATAGCTAGAAAGTTACGTGACTGCGCCCTCGTTACCCCTTGTTTAAGAAAGGCGACGGCCTTGACATTTCATACCGGCCCTAGGTGATTCCAAATTGTCATAATTTTACTTCCAGTGATTTTACTTCCAGAGGAATTCAAACGCAGGACCTGGACCAGGGGCCAAGTCCCACTAGAGGTGAGAAAAGTATAGGAATGAGGACCATTCTTCTGTGTGACACGCTTGCCAGCCACAGATAGAGAAGGGATCGTAAGGTCCTGCTTTGGTTAGTGTGCAAAGAGGAGGAGGGTTCACGTTTCTCGTATTCTCATTGGCCACCAAATGTGGCAGGTTTTACTTTTCAAAATTTGACGAGTTTTCATTCCTGGGTGAGGGGTGAGGAATGAAAACCGGTTCGAAAATCCGCGTCAAACTGATTTGGAAAAAGAAAATTGGTAATGGGACTGTGTCAGTCTGAGGAACTGCCGCTGCACCGCTGCAGACTCTGTCAGTGGACAGGCACACACTGCCACTAGGAGGGTCAAGTTTCCTCAAACTTGAATCTGGACGTCTTTGTGGAGATGTGCAGAAATCCCGTTCCGTAGCTTCCTGAAACGCACATTTCCACAACCAAATTGTCGCAAGGTCTCTCTCTCTCTCTCTCTCTCTCTCTCTCTCTCTC